CGCTGCAAGCGCTTTGTCTCGGGACGGGACTGCGGCCGTTGCCGGGTGAGTCTCGGCCAATCTGATTTGCTCTCGGGCGCTGAGCTTCTAGAAGCCAACAAGCACGAGGCTGTACTCAGGGTGACTCCCTGAGCCTTGCACACGGCGGTGCCCTCCCGACCTGGTCACCAGGGTCAGCGCCGTCTTGGCGAGCTGAGGCCGCGTAGCCCCGGGCGGGGACCGGGAAACAGGAGGACGCCCGGTGGGTGAGTTGCCACAGCCGCGTGCCTGGGCGGACAGGGGTTTCACAACATGATTGAAGGAAGAGAGTCCAGTCGCTCCGGGCTTCCCTCGATCATGGCAATTGCTTTAACGTTTAACACTGGCTGCGTCCTCCTCGTTCTTTCTTTCTAAAACATATATGTTTTTATTGATTTCAGAGAGGAGGAAGGGAGGGAGAGAGAGAGAGACATCAACTATGAGAGAATCATTGATCCGCTACCTCCCTCAAGCCCCACACTAGGGATCGAGCCCGCAACCCAGGCATGTGCCCTGACTGGGAATCGAACCATGGCCTCCAGGTTCATAGGTCAAGGCTCAACCACTGAGCCACGCTAGCCACACCGTCTTCTTTTTTCGTACCTCCCCTCCATGAAGCCATGCCCGAGTCCACCAGCATCTCCACTTCCCGTCTCAGCCACAGGCAGGACTCAGCCTCCTCTCTCCAGCACCAGGCGGTTCTGTCCATGACCTCCCTAACCCTAACCCTAACTCTAACCCTAAACCCTAACCCTGACCCAGACCCTAACCCTAACCCTAACGCTAACCCTGCCCCTGACCCTATCTCTACCCCTAACCCTAACGCTAACCCTAACCCTAATGCTAACCCTAACCCTAACCCTGACCCTAACCCTAACCCTAACCCTAACGCTAACCCTGCCCCTGACCCTATCTCTACCCCTAACCCTAACGCTAACCCTAACCCTAATGCTAACCCTAACCCTAACCCTGACCCTAACCCTAACCCTAACCCTAACGCTAACCCTGCCCCTGACCCTATCTCTACCCCTAACCCTAACGCTAACCCTAACCCTAATGCTAACCCTAACCCTAACCCTGACCCTAACCCTAACCCTAACCCTAACGCTAACCCTGCCCCTGACCCTATCTCTACCCCTAACCCTAACGCTAACCCTAACCCTAATGCTAACCCTAACCCTAACCCTGACCCTAACCCTAACCCTAACCCTAACGCTAACCCTGCCCCTGACCCTATCTCTACCCCTAACCCTAACGCTAACCCTAACCCTAATGCTAACCCTAACCCTAACCCTGACCCTAACCCTAACCCTAACCCTAACGCTAACCCTGCCCCTGACCCTATCTCTACCCCTAACCCTAACGCTAACCCTAACCCTAATGCTAACCCTAACCCTAACCCTGACCCTAACCCTAACCCTAACCCTAACGCTAACCCTGCCCCTGACCCTATCTCTACCCCTAACCCTAACGCTAACCCTAACCCTAATGCTAACCCTAACCCTAACCCTGACCCTAACCCTAACCCTAACCCTAACGCTAACCCTGCCCCTGACCCTATCTCTACCCCTAACCCTAACGCTAACCCTAACCCTAACCCTAACCCTACCCCTAACCTCCCTAACCCTAACCCTAACCCTCACCCTACCCTCCCTAACCCTAACCCTAACCCTAACCCCTGACCCTAACCCTAACCCAGGGCCCCCTGGCTCTGGCTTCTATCACGGGACGTCCTGCCACGTGGCCGTGTCCTGTGCCTCTGCGGGCCTGGCTACGCAGGTGAGGCGCAGGCGGGTGGCAGACCCAGGGCCTGCTCATTGTTCATAATCCCGTGCGGCCGAGGCTGATCTGTGCCCGTGCCACCTGCAGGGTGAGCTACTGGCCGGGCACCTCCTGCAGGGGTCCCGAGGGGAGGGAGGGTCCATGGGAGGAATTGCAGGCACGGACTTGTCAGCCAGGAGACGGGCCTGAATGCAGAGTGTGCCCTCCGCCCTCCTGGCTACGCCTTGGACTTTCTGGGATGAGGGACCCAAAGCGCCCGAGGTGCAGGAAGACACCCGAGGCGACCCCCACGAACCCGCTCTCCAGGGCCCCGCTGTGACCGCTGCGCCTCCGGCTACTTTGGGCGCCCATGGCCCCGGAAGGACCCCAGGAGGAGCCCGTGCCGGCCCTGCCAGGC